AATAAGAAGAAGATTTTGTGCTTTTGATGTTTCTTAGTAGTTTTGGGGTTAAGGGAGTATTTTTCTGCAGAACTTCAGTGCACCTGAAAATCCATCTGTAGCCTTATACTCCTGTCTTCTTAAGGACTACTTGCACTACTTTTTACCAATAGATGGCAGTAATATTCCACCAATTTCAGTATCACCAGCATTTGGTTCAGTTTTTCCTAGTGGTCCTTCAAATTTTTCGTCCTTCTATAAAAGGTAAGTATTACTTAAATTTAGATTCTGATTGTTGTTTTGGGGAGAGGGTGTGGAATCTTTTAACTTTTTAGTTTATCAAAGACTTGTTATAAAGTATCAGACCTATACTTTTCTGTGACGGTAGAACAAGTTATTTCTGTGAGGTACTGATGGAAATATAAAATAACTGATCTAAAACTAGTTGTTTATTTTATTATAAAACATAGGTAGCTATAGTAACAAAATAATTGGGACAGCACACTTTGATACAGTAGATACCCATGTTCCTGTTCGAGTCCCATATAAATAAGGAAAGGTCCCACTTTTGGTGTTAGTCAGAGTCTCAAGTATGTTACTAACACTTACCATTAATGCTGCATGTGGTGGAGCAGACTACCTCTTCTGTTGCTAAGTGGTTCCACATTTTTAATGAGACTTCAGAATCTGAACTTAATGTTTCTTCTGAGACAATCCAAACATCCCCAAGCTGTTTTAGTTAGGGTTAGATGAATGAGGGATTTCATGGCAGATGTACAGTTTTCTGTCAAACCATGTTTCAAAGAAGGGGCCCAAGAAGTAATGATTTTTGAATATCTGAACCAATAGCCTCCATTAGTGGTCTAACACATTACCCACTATGGAATAGAAAGTAGTCATTTTACGGTATAAAATCATCCTCTTTTCAGTGTTTCATGTCAATTTGTCTGGCTCAGCTGGCAGTGGCAGTATAATGACATCTATAAATCTCTACTTCTCTGGCTCAGTTGGCAGTAGCAGTATTCTGACATCTATAAATTTCTACTTGTCTGGCTGAGTTGGTAGTGCCAGTATGCTGACATCTATAAATCTCTACTTGTCTGGCTGTGTTGGTAGTGGCAGTATTATGACTTCTATAAATCTCTACTTGTCTGGCTCGGTTGACAATGGCAGTATGCTGACATCTATAAATCTCTACTTGTCTGGCTGAGTTGGTAGTGCCAGTATGCTGACATTTATAAGTCTACTTGTCTGGCTCAGTTGACAGTGGCAGGCAGTATGTTGACATCTATAAATCTCTGGAACAGTGCATCATGGAATTCAGATTAGGGTTGGACCAAGATAATCAGAAAGAGAACACAATTTAAATCTTTCCACAACTGGAAATACTTACCTTTCGTATATTATCATTCCAACAAATTTCCAAGTTATCTAAGACTAAGCCTAAGCAAGAGAAATGTTACTACAACAACAGTAAATTTACTCAATTTTATTTATGGAAATTCCCCCAAAACATGATAATTGTACACAAGAATTGGACTGATTACTACATAAGATTGTGCTGTTTCAGTACTTTTTTCATAGTAGGTTTTAAAGTATCGTTTCTGTAGTATTAAAAGTTTACAATTGTTAATAAAACTGTATAGACCTATATCATTGTATTATAGAATGAGGTGAAATGTTGCCTTTTTAAATTTGCTTGAATAAGTTTGTTGCTTATTTTTACCATGTGTATTGTTAAACATTAAAAATGTTTTGAAATTAACCACCATTGTAGTCGTTCAGTATCAATTCCTTAAGCTCTGTTTTATCTAATGGATATAGTTTTCCTCATGGTCATTCTTCACGCCAGCTTCTGACCCAGAAAGCACAGTCTTCATCTCATAAACATTCACAGCAGTGTGTGATGAAGCCTAGGAAGAATGTGTCATTTTCTCCACCAGTCAAGAACTCGGACCTAAGTACTGAAAACCAGGATTGTGTTCATTCGACTGTGTGGTATTCTGAAACTTTAACAGTCATCATCTCGGAGTTTTGGCTAAATCATGAGAATATAGATTCTCATGGGATGGAAAGGAATTTTGCAATTGTAGTAAGTAAAGTTTCATTGGTTAGGTTTTATAAAGCTTCTTTATTTCACTCCTAACTTTTTTTTTTACTGTTTGTTTCATGCAAGTTCTGAACTTAAAATAGATAGTTCACTTTATTTATTGTTAAACTTCTTGGTGTATTTATTCACTAATTTCCTGTTGAACAAATCCGGTGTGGAAATAAATTTTTTATTTTTGTTTTATCAACTTTTTTCTAGAACATTATCTGATGTATTTATTTGAAACTTGGAAGTCAAGTTTTTCGAAATGTTAGCTCCACATATTGTTTGTTAAGCATTCTTCAGACCAGTGTCCTAGAAACCTGCATAATTGAACCCTTTGACTAACTTGGATGTTCTGATGTGATATATTGTTCAATTTCAAAGCTTTTGAGGTCATTAATGATATTCTTTAGTTTTGTAACTTTTTAGTCAAGAGGTCATAGAAAACCATTGATTTCCACTTGACAATTAGGTTTCTACTAGCTTTCCTGTTCGACTGTTTTTTCCACACGTTGTGGGACAATTCCTAGTTATAGGCTATGTACAACTAGATGTTGTGTGATTTATATATCACGTTTCTGCTGTACCAAGTATCAGACCTATACTTTTCTGTGACGGTAGAACAAGTTATTTCTGTGAGGTACTGATGGAAATATAAAATAAC